CTGGGAACATTCAGTACAAAAGTGCACAATTAATTTCTGTTTTGTTCAATGTCATGAGCATTCAATGCAAAACCCAAAACGAAAGATCATTGCAAATTATTAAACCTATCTTATGTTGCATGGTATCATCTATTGAAGACTATGGTGGAATATTCATTCCACTTCGAAAACGATTCACTGCGCATCCAAGAGGCCGAGTGTTTTGTTTATACGGCGCGTACGTGCTCACTGGTAAACAGACGCGGCCACGTGAGCGGTGGACCAGTTCGCGCTTCAATCTCAATGAGAGAGAGAGAAGTCTCGATTCTGAAATCATTCCTCCGATTTGATAAGAAAAAAAAAAAAATCATGTTTCTCATTATTAGTTTCTACTACTCATGATGATTCTGAAGACGAAATTTCAAAATCATGAATTAATTTGTTGTAATTATCATCATTGACGTGGCAGAAAAGAAAAAAAAAATCACCGGCAATAGAACATCTGAAAATTTTAGCAACTAGGATTGTCAGCTATGAAATATTAGATATTACACATCAGAAATGAGATATTAGATATGAGATATCATATGGTGGATATTCCACGTCAGATATCACATGGTGGATACCCCCCCCCCCCCCCCCCCCCCCGCCATTTTGGTCCATAATGGAGCCGTGAACATTACCACCGCGGGGGCCGACAAAGAAGATTCCCCCCTACATTACCGACTGAGGACTTGACAGATTTCTACATTGCTCTGCCCGCAACCTCACCCGTCTCCCGCCCCGCACCGCCCCTACAGATCCCTATGTTCAGAACCGGCCTTGTTTATCTACTAACGTTTCTCCGGGTCGAACAACAGACGAAGATGACCATTTTTCGACTTGGTGAAACGCTCAACAAATCCTTTCCTCAATGATTAATACGGTGTAGCGGCAGGACGGTATTAATTGATAACTATATCGCGAACTTCTGCGACCACATGCGGATCAATCAGCGACATCGTGTCCTGGAAGTCGTTCCACTGAGTGAAAATTGTCTTAGTACGGAATTCTGCTGCAAACTCAGCGAAGCGGGAAGCAATCTTGTTCATGCAATTGGGAAAGCTTCGAATGGTGATTGAAGAAACAGAAACTGCTGCCATGGCACCTGTATTTTCAGAATTACCCATATTATTAAAGAGAGCACGCGGAAGAAACTTTACGCACTTGCAGATAGAAAACCGATGTCGACTCGGGTCACCAATGTATCGGCCAGGATAGTTGAAATCACAAAATATTTATGTTTCGAGCAGACTTCTTTTGTATTGATGGTCTCAGTACCGAGGAAAAATGTTCCACGAGAACTTCTCAAACCTGCAAGGGGGACAAGAAACTACCGAGGATCTACCTGAATCTCCAACTCGAAAAAGGAGAGAGACAACCTGAGAATCGGGCTGAGTCCTTCATCGGATGGATGAGAGAGAGAGCATTCTAAAGCGTTCCACATCCTATGACGTCACAGGAGATCGTTAGAAAAGACTGTGGAATAGGTGGGGAGCACAACAGGATAATACCGGATATAATTTTACGTGCAAAGCACAGCCGGCTTTGCTACTCCGTAAATTCTGCACGGAGACTTATAGGGCTACTTTAGCAGCTGCCGGGCCCGAGATTTAGAATAGCATCGTTGAGCGCATCAGAAACTGCCGTATGGCTATCGTGGGGATTTAAACACCTGGGAGCTTAGCTGGGCTTCTCTCGGCCTGGTCCTTCTGAACAGCGGTGAAGAACGCAAGTCCTCAAAAGGAGGAGCAAGCTCTATAGTGGACCTGACCTTTGTGAGAGACAATCTTGCAGGAGAGAATCGCTCATGGAGGGTTGGCCACCTATGCACGGCGAGCGACTTCCTTTGATTCCTTCAGCCATAGCTTTTAAGATTCACCTGAGACGCTGGCTTCTGAGGAGAGAGCCCTATCATCGTGTTGGCATTACATAACTTCCTTTTTCTTTTAAGCTGTATCTCCGCATGAGTATAACTCTTCTTCTTTTTACTCTGCTGTTTATTTCATTTCATATAATACCATGTTGGTTTTGTGATTTTCATTTGTTTGTCCTTCTTTTCATTTTGTTTAAGCTCCTAAACAATAAACGTATTATCTTATCGTATCTTAGCTCACACTGTCTTATGTAGAAATCAAATAAGTTATAGGTAGTTCATGCACTGTCGTCGGTTATCTTTCAATGTGTTAAAGATAACTCTCCAGGTGAATCAGGGAATCTTGCCACTTGAGAAACCATTATTTAAGTGCCTTCCATATTTACGGAAGATGGATCTGATATGAGCAAACCCATATGAAACACATGGAATCCTAAACGAGAAGAGCCTGGTACTCTGAATGTCGAAGTACAGCTAACCATTTTGGCAAGAATATCTTCAAATAGCGGACATACCTTGCCAAAAACACCAATGTTGAATCTCCGGAAACCTTGCTTACTTGCAGTTCGGCTTCATTAATGTTTCCTACCGGATGAAACCTTTTTTTGATCGGAATTCTGGATATTTTATATTGTAATCCTCCATTAGGAATGAATTCTTATTGATGGGCAATGTTCTTGATCATGGAAATTCAGACAGAGTATTTTCAAACTCGCCTGTGCCCACGTTATCCTTGTTGAAGATGAAAGCTGGCTCGAGAGGTGTCGAGATTGTCATCCCCTTCACTAACTTGAACAGCAACTGACTGTTTGCGGAACGCGTCTGTAAGGAGATCCATAATATTGATGGCTGATTTAGCGAGTATTTCTACGTCAATAATCGTAACCTTTTTGAACTTGCCTGCCTTTCTAACAATCACCTACTATCACATACCATCTACACTTCAAAAAATGGCCAATAATATTCAACCAAGGGATTCCTTCAAAATTGTTTATATGACAATGAATGTAGAGAGATCTGTTAAACTGAAACAAGGTATTTTTGCCGCATGATCAGTTCCTCGGTTGCTTACGTAATTTTAGCAGATTTTCATCCAACCAGAAGTTATCTTCCATGGCAGAAGTTAGAAGAGAGATAATGCCGTCATTTTATTAATTTAGTTTCATATATTTGAACGAAGATCTTCCTGAATTGCCGTTGATTGGCTGAAACTCCGTAAAGGTTCTCCATCGGTGGGGATTAAATGCAGCGAGAAATGAGTATATCCTTTTAAGATGAGGGCACCACGGTCCGGTCGTCGGTTTAACTGATTTACGGCGAAGGTCAACTCATGTTTCTGATCGGTAAGGGAAAATAAATATGAAACGGTCCGAAAAATGTATAACAATAATCCCGTAATTTTGATGAGCGCGGCGTGAAAAAATGTGGAATTTAGAATACACTGAGAAATCATTTTCGCGATATTAGATCAGGACAATATGCAACCCTATCGCCGGATATGAGTGGCGCGCATCATATGTATCGCATGCCTCTCAAAATGTCACTGGCGATTGGGTAAGTCACTGAGACCAATCTATTTATTTGACGCGTTCATCACCTATTGACATCATGTTCACGGGTTTTAGAAATCACTTCCGTTTGGTGGGAATTGACCACGCACTTTCGTTTGTCACCCCTTTGCGAGCAGTCTATACGCAAGCCATGCTACATTTTAGAATTTCGATCATAATATTTTAGTTTCTGGAAGTTTCTTATGTTGTCTCGGGCGAGCGCTATGGCCGTCCAAATTTGATCATTCTTTGTTCCGTTACCGGCACACATCCAGTAAATTTGTGTATGAAATCGATGCGTTGAGCATCCAAGTCAAGAAATACTATCTGTCCTATTGTTTCACCGGTGAGTCTCTGGTCTTTGAATTTCTGGGTATTGTAACTTATCACACAGGCAATGGTGAAATTGAGAATTCCCTGAATTTTAATTTTTTGACTCTCCCCATTGGATTATCTTTATTTTAGAGGAAATATTGAGTTTAAACTTATTCTCATTCCACTTCGTTTCGTTTTGTTTCACATTTTCCGTATAGACAATATCGTGAACTAATCAATATTTCGCGCTATTGTGTTGTTTCGAGTCGTTAGATTGAACATGGCGTATTTTCTGTAATTTCTGATTTTAGTATTGATTTTTCTTGGCTCAATTTTGAATGATGAAGTATTTCTACTTAATCCTCCAATAGAAATTCAATATCTTTAACTTTTCTTATTTTAACTTAATTTCAGAATATCGGTTTTATTCATTTGGATTTAAGGAATGTGAGATCATTGTAAGTATTAGGTCTGGATTTCAGTATCTAGCGCAACATTACCGCAAAAAAGATTTTGTTTATATTTTTCATATTTAATTATTTTTTATATCGAATCCAAATGATTAATTCAATTTTGTCATCTTCGATTTGAGTTTGGAATTTTATCCGAATTTAGTTGAACCCAGTAGTATCCCATATCAGCTTTTCTTCTAGATAATTTAGTCTCTATGTGCGGTGCTGCTGGTGATATTAGAAGCCGGAATTGAAGGATTTTTATTTGTAGTCATTCCGACTTTATTGACCTCGTGCCTCACGTCGATCTCAGTTTGGATGGTACTACTGGGCGGCGTGATGGAACAGCATTTTCTATGAACCTTGCGAAATTACGTCACACAGTATATGATTTGACGCATTTGTCACTATCACATTTAAAAAAATGGGAAGGCTTTCAATTGTAGCACTGGATTCTTAAATGAAGACGGTCGAGAAACATTGGAGTATTTTTATCGATATTTCTGAGAACGAATATCCATTCTTTCTTCGTACGTCAATGGTTGGAATAAATACGTCGATCGAAGATAATAAACATTTCTTTTTATTATTTCATCACGGAAAATAAAGGCAGGTGGTATTAGCTACTGAGCACTACATGCATCGGTTACACTAAATCGTTCTCATTGTGTTTGTTGTCGATGCTTGACGCACTTATTGTATTGTATGAAATATTCTAAGGGAAATTTAGTCATTATTTAATTTCTTTATTGATATTTTGAAACTGAAAATCTCAATCAATTGATCCAGGGAAAGAGTTCGAGTCGAAGCCTTCAACCTCGCATTTGCCGAACTTCGGAAGCTTCTACCAACGCTACCACCAGACAAGAAGCTCTCAAAAATCGAAATCCTGCGACTAGCTATATGCTACATTGCCTACCTAAATCACGTGCTGGAAGCATGAACTATCCTCACTCTGAGACTCCATATGTTTTCTGTGTACATATATCTAAATTTGTATCTTTTATTCTACTATGAAAATATCCAATAAAATATGAATTACGATTGAAGACGCTTTGCAGCAGCACAATTTGTTCAACATTTCTGATTGCCTACTCCTCCAACGTGATCAATCAAAAAATATGGTATGAAAGTATTTCCCAAAAGTAAACTTTACTATTTTTTTTAGTATTATTTTTTTATTTTTTTTTTACTATTTGATAAGTCTGCAAAATAACGGAGATGAAAAGTGACTTCCGAGAGAATGAGATATTGTTCGATTTCGCGAAAGATGGAAGGAATGAAAGTTGGGAATGTCATGGGTAGAATAAACTGTTGAATTACACTATGAAAGGTGATGATAATAATTTGTATGAAGAGAAAAACGAACCACTTATTCCGGTTAAAAAATGAATTCTGAACGAATGTTGATTAATACAGATTTCTCCAAAAAATAGTAATAAATACAAGAACAAAGTGTTGTAAAAAGCATAATAACAACATATTTGATGATGATGTTTTGTTGTGGTGGGTTTTGAGTGGTATGGGTAGTATGATCGAGAGGCGCTCAGTGCCGTCATTCTAGGAGTGATGGCAGACAATGCTTTCGCTGCCCTTGGAGGCAGCTCGTCGGTGTGGGAGGCGTGTACTGGCAGCTGTAGCGGCTAGCTGAGCTGAGCACGTTGGCAGACTGTCAGTGAAATAAGTCGGTTGATTGGAGATGCTGAGAACCCTGTTAATTGGGTGTGACTCACAGGAGAAGTCGACGAGCGCCGAGTCTGTATATTCCGTAGGTATTTTGTATTGTATTTGTTTCTGTATCGTTATGTATGTGACGACTTAATGTTTACCTATGCCTTTGACGAAACTTTCGCAGACAAACAGCCGCTGCTAAGCGGGACCCCATGTGTAGGTACTTTCACTGTTAACTACTGACCATCTCATCGACTTCTGATGATGAAGCTGTAACGAGCATTGACGGATCCCTATCGAGATACGCGGTAGCGTATCGCCCAAGTAAAGGTTTCGTCTCTATCCAACAAATAAGGCCGAGAGCTACGATGTATCTATACACGACACAACTACCCCTTCCACTACCTCCTGGTCGTATTTAATCCATAAAATACAAACACCAGTTACACTACATGAATCGCCCTCAAAATTTTTCAATTGACATAAGTCTTTCCTCTTTTCGATTAATATTGGCAAAAATACGCCCATGGCAACAGGTTCATTTCAATATTTTCCCGATTTCTAGTATCTTTCGGTTACATTGAAGTCACTAAGTTGACAGAAGTTCGATCCAACCTAACCTGGTCCAATTGGCGTTGAGATGTTGCCATCAGTGTATTCAAACCGTTGGATTGTACCAGGGAAACAGGAAAAGAAGTACAGTTCTTGGGAAAACCGCTCCAAGTAAGTTGGTCCTGCCTCTGGTGATTTTTTTATTTTCATTATTGAATCCTTTCAATCGAGTCGTATTACTTTTCTTGGCGTTTTCATTTACATTTTCCGAGTTTTTCAAAATTTCTAAGAACACCATATTTTGGCAAAACACGAGTTTTTTACGGAATCAATTGAGCGAAATTTTCACTTGGCTCAGGTTTTTTACACAATTAGAAATACTGGACAGAGAGTGTAATGTTTTTGAGTAGGGTTAGGGCAGTTTATTATTGTCCCCCTCCGGGCTGGATTATGAATAGGAGAAATCAGTTGGAAATTTCATTTTTCGCAGAAGGTCTCACCGCCTAATCAGCTTTAGACATTAAATAAATTCAAAAAATTAAAATTTCGGGAGAGAAAAATTCCGCTTAATTGAGGCTCTCAAGATAGGGTTAGGTCCGGATAAAAAGCTAACACTCCGGAAAAAAAGGTTTCCGGGATTAATTGGTACGGGTGGAAGCTCGTACGTAATAAAATTCAGTCTTTACCCGCCCCTACCCCCTTGCAAGACTGACTGTTTACGGGTTAGAGGACAAATTAATACATTTTAAGGTGGGAAATTTAGGTCTGTCAATCCATAGAAGCTAGAAGACCTGTCTATGAAAAAATAAGTCCTGAAATTGATTTTGGGGATGGAGAATTAATTCAAATTTGAATTTAATCTGCCGCGTAGAACTCCGTATGGCGTCACGGAATACTGACCTCCAAAATCAGTTACGCATGAACCGCGATGAAGTCCACATGCGCGTTAACAATGAGAGACGAGAAATCGGACCAGGATATCCCACCACTCTAGAAACACAGAGCAGTCTTCAGGATGCTCCTGAAGAAAAAGACGAAGGGACCAAGGAGATCAACCGTGAGTTTTCTTCGTGGGTTGCAATTATCTGAGGCATGGAAGTTTTAGTGGTCCTGAGAGTGTTTCGAAGAAGTTTTTCGGAATGTATTCGGTGAGTTATTTCCCTCAGAGCGGTGGCAGGATTGATGCGTGCGGAATTTTGGGCGTTTAAGGATTATTTCTGCGGCAGAATAGTGCTGGAATATTCCACGGCCGGTAACAGCCAGTGGTGCTTCCTTATGGTGCGATCGATGCGGTCATTGAGTGGCAACGCGCAACAGGTATGCAACAAATACTTACAAAAATTCCATACGACTATTAGTTAGCATGGTGTGTTGAATTATGTATACTCATGTACTTCATAGAATTGTGGGAAATAATCTCCCGAGCGAAATTGTCAGGGTTTTCCGGAATTCGCTCAGTAGATTTCGAGTTTTCGATTTTTGAAGGGGTTCTACTTTTTCACCTTGAATTTTTCCTCACCGCTGACCAAACAGCGAAACGTAGCTCTCTCTCTACCTCGCTCCTGCGTAGTGGGCCCCATTTTTAGAAATTATCGATTCTTCCCAGATTTCAAATGACAAATATGCTCTCGGATTATCGCGGATCGATTATGCTTAAAGCGACATTCCAATGGGACTGCTGAGTGCGTCTGAGATAATTAACGTTATTTGGGATTTTGGTTGGAAAAATTACTACCACCTAACGACCTCAAAATCTCAGAGACAGCTGCATTACTCAAGAAGCCCTTGGAAGGTCGATTCGAGTTCCCTGACTTCAGAATCCTTTACAGAGAAGAACTGAACCTCATACTCAAGGGAATACCGTTTACTATTGGTATAGTAAGAGTACCAATTCGAAGAGAGAGAGAAAGAAAGTAACTCAAAATTTTCACTAATTGAGGTGGTCAGAGATTCACGGATAGAATAATTTACTAATAACTAAACTAATAGTAATGTTACGGACACTGAGTCACTAGGGAGTTCAAAATATTGGGTAAAAGGTGAACCCTTCAGATGAGTTGCCCGTAACTACTCACGACAAGTAGTGTCCGGAGGAGAAAGGATCTTATAAATCTCACTTAGTGGGAGCCGATTCCGTGGGACTAAGCACTGAAGTACACAATGGTAATAATATGCGGAATTAGCACTGTAAGGGAATTTTTTCCGGGTCAACACCCCAGAATATTCCTCGAACTAGTCTGGCTGCCGCCTCTATCGTTCACGATTGGGCGCCAGCCAGGTTTTTCTGGGAAACCTGACGGAAAACCAGCCACGAAGGAATGTCGTCAACTCCTCGGACTTTCGGTGGCGGGTATCACAATGCCGAGCCAGCATCAGCATGACACGGTAGAGTAGGCGCGGTTCACCAACGTACGAGTAACTTCAATCACTAACTTCTGCGGCGCTTACGGCATCGTCAACGATATCTTTCGGGGAACGTATTCCCCAGACTGTCGTGGAAGGATGTGACCATCCCTCGCACGTGGTACACTCTCCTCTGGGGTGGCTCAACCCCAGACAAGACACAGATTACCTGCGAATCCTTCTCACCCCGCAGGGCACCGAACTGCTCGAGGCACGTGCGACGTAGGTATCCGGAGACATTTCTCACCCACCTAACGTCTACCCCAACTCGAGAACTCGGTAATAGCAATCTCATCGCGAGTCAAAACTAGAGTTACTTCCCATGGAGGCGCGTGCGACCGGACCGACGGGAAACACCTTGAATCCCAGCCCTTAGTCCACCGTAACACCATGGATTTCGCCCTAGAGATGGACCTCTGTAGCCTCGGACTCTCGTCCGTAGTCTCAAAGTAATCCATTGCACTGATCGGGGACACATCAGTGTCCTCTTCTCTCGCTATTCCAAAATTCCTTGGAACCACGTACCCCTCATAACCCCGGCAGGGATTATTGCCACCAACTGACCAGCACCAGAGACCAGCACTCAACGCGAACTGTCCTGAAATCTCCCAGGGCCTTCTCCCGCTAGTCTGAGCATCTCAGCGACTGTGGGTCATCCGTTACCCCACAGCCACCAATCAACTCGACGGGATCCCGGGGGCGCTAGTCCTTTCACCTAGCCGTTGGTCCCTGGTCTAAGTCGACGGCGCCCTTCGGAACCACCCAGTTGGAACGCCTGTACGTCGGCCCTGGACTCTCTAACACAGTTGGGTAGATTTCCGAATTGGGAAACAGCTATCGTCAGCGCCATCACAGTGTTCCGAAACATGGTCTCACCCTACCGCGTTTCTTCCCACTATGTGATTTGTCTAATTCACCTTCGGAGCGGCCTGACTGGCCGTCGTCCGATGTTCTATTCATCCTTTGCTCGGCTATTTCAGCCGGCGTTAGATGTCGCTTCTTTGGCCTCGTGACTTTACTAGTGTTTTCTCTAATAACGAGAAAAATCTCGTTACAGCACACAAAGAGAAAGATACCCTTGAGTTTCCCTTAAAATAGAATTTAAATTCATTACACTTCACTTGATATACAGAATAGAAGAAAGTCCAAGATAAAAACCAGATGTAGATAGGAAAAGTGTAGGAGGGAATAGTGTAAATGTTGCTGGTGTGTTTTCTGACATACGGTTGTAGAATTAAACGGCAACAGGGAACGGGTGGTTTCTTCGTGTTTCCCCTTCGCAGTGAATTCCGGAGAAAACTCCAAAAGTATGCTAGA